TAAAAATCAAACAAAATAAAAATATCTTATATCCAAACTTCCCCTTACAGATTAGAGGAACGTCAGATGCGGCCCTCGTCCCAAGCTGAGGATACCTCCTCTTGTTTCTCCTTCAGAGTGAAAATGTGCTCTTTCACTTGGTCGTTCATCCTCTTGAGCAACTCTTGCTTGTGATGAGTGAAATTTTCGTTTTTCTTTCTCTTTTGCTCGAGAGCGCGTTTTGGCTCGCCCACGGAGGGTGACGAGCTGCTTAGTCTCTTGTGTGCATGGGAACTACAACAGATAGCAGCTGCAGGGAAGCATGGTGGTAAGAACAAGTTCATAACGATATTTCTAAAAAAACGTCAGTATACATACGTGAGCTAGAACGAGGCTTCATATTTTGACTGCCCTTTTGAGTTATCCTCCCAAAGCGAGGTCTCCTCGTCAAGAAGGACCAACATCAAATAGGTCGAGATGGTGGGGCATTATGATCTTTAGTCATGGTTTCTGGCATCTCAACCTCCACCATGTCACTTTTGTTGCGTTTGGAGGTCCCACCAGTAGCCTCATCAAGTTGTTTCATACTCCGTGGATTGGGAGAAGTCACTTTGGTCAGCTTAGGCATATGCTTTATTGGTGGAAGAGCGATAGGTGATTCAATGATCTTATCCCCAGTCGAGCTCGCAGGAGTTTTGCGTTTACTAGACGATGTCAAAGAACCAATGAGTGATTCTACATAGATGAAAACAATTAGTTGAGGTTAATGGTGATTAGAGTAAAGTTATTGCAACACAAGATGTCCCTACCAAAATCAGTAATGGTAGGGGAATTCATGTTGGTTAGAGCACAGTGATAGCATAGCTACCCGTTGTCTATCAAGAACATGGCAATTAGAGGCATCTTATTCTAAGAGGTAATGATCTCGTCCAATATGGCATTCTCCTTTGGTTTAGAAGACTATCTGGGCAGCTTGATTATCCAGCGAGAAGAGAAGGGGAAAGCTCTAGAAAGTTGCACATATAAAAATGAGTTTTTCAGTAAAAAACATTGGAAGGAAGGTCTCTTTAGAAGTTAGCACGGTTACGAGCTGTTAATCCTTATCTTCCAACACAGCCTTATGCTCCATGCTAACTCTAGCAAGCTACTTCTTTAAATTATGAAAGTTTAGGTTAGTTGGTCGTTCTTTTTTTTTTTTTCCATATCCTTGATGTCCACATAGCTGGGTGAGATAGCACGAACCTCTTCGTCAAGAAAGGGGAAAAGAGACTAGAGAAACTGAAAAATAAAGTACCTGAGCAACATCTTTGGTCGCATGAGTTGCACGACCTTGGCGCTTAGTTCCCCAATGCTTGGTTTCCTCGGCAGAAAGTACCTACATAAGGTACG